TTTGGATTTGGCAAATGATTTGATTGATAATATTTTTTGGACAAAATTTATTTAATCAATCTTGTTAATTCATTTTCTTTTTTCTTATCAATTAATTCAGAATGTTAGTTAAATAAAAAAATTAATTAATTTGGCACAACTGAATTTGAAATTCACGTGTAACGGTAATCCTTTCGAAAAGTCGTTACTTTTCCCAAACGGTAATTCATCCGAAAAGTCGTTACTTTTCCCAAACGGTAATTCTTCCGAAAAGTCGTTACTTTTCCCCAAAGGACACAATGTTCTGGAAAAAATGGGTCTGAACAGATTTTTCTGAACAGACGCGTTCCTTGCTGCAAATGACTAAATAAGAGGGTTTTTTTCGTTTTTTCAGACACTGAATTTTTTTCCCCTCTCTGCATACATTTTCTTGCATAAACAAAATTGTCGATCGATTGAGTCTGTGTGTGCTCTTGTTGTTGTTCTTGCGTTCTCTGAAGTTATTGAAGTTTGAGGTACCGCTACGTCTTTAACAGGTTAATCCGTTTTATTTTGGGAGGAATTAATCTGCAACCTCGGTACAGTGAGGGGATTAAATTTCTTAAGGAAACACAGTGGTTTCTGTGGACTCGGATTAAAATTCATTCTGTCTATTTCATATTTTTTCTGTTTCTGTATTTTTTACTAACCTGAATACAGGAGATAACAGTAATTTACTTCTATTTATTTATTTGGTGTTCAAGTATTCATATTAAAGACTGATTAGTCTAAATTCGTGTCGTGTAAGACTTTATTTGGGAAAATTACTCCCTATAAAAAAAACATATTCAAGATTTGAACTCAAGATCTTTAATTAAGTGAGTAACAATTACATCAAGTACTGCATCACACTTGGTTGGAACCGAAAATCAAACCAAACAACAAATCGAATCAAATCGGGAAAAAATCTAACATATATCATTTTTTTGATTTACTAATCTGCTAGCCAAATACTAATGAAATATATTTAGACATAATATATAAACAAACCCTTTAATTTTAATATACATAAATAATCAATTAAACTTATATGGTATAAACAAGTAAAAACTGAGGTTGATGTCTAGTGAGCACCGAAATTTAGAAATTTAAGTTTTTGAAATTGTAAATGAAAATGTTTTTACATGGTAAATTTTAAAGTTGAATGAGTGCAATTGATTTTTAAAAATTTAAAAATATTTGAAAAAATCTGATCAAATCTCATAACAAAGGATATATTTTTGAAGAAAAATTTTAAAATCTGATTCACATGGACAAATGCTGACTTATTAAAGCAGATCACTTAAATTAAATTTATTATATGAACAGAAGGATGTTGGGTGTAATTATTATTTTTTAATTAAAAATGGACAGATCTTATTAACGATCCACCTAAGATGCAAATAAAAACGATAGAATATGTTAAGGAACCCAAACGTAGAAAAGGAAATGTTAATCTAGCTGTAAATTATACTTCCTCTTCTTCTCGATTTGAGAAAGAATGATGTATTATCTTTAATTTAGAAATACTAAATTAAAAAATCTTTTTTATTTATTTTATTTTTTTAATTTTGTGTCAAATCAAATTAGTTCATTATTTTTTAAACGTGAGAAGTAGCCTGCCACAAACATTTTTTTTTGATAAAATGTGGTTGGGGTGTCCATAATTCATTCATCAATAAAAGAAGAAAAACAGTTTATACAAACTTTCTTAGATTCCTGGCTCCCCACTTGTTGCAGTAGCGGTGGATATTGGACGGGTTGGGTTAAATTTAAGGCACATGATTTATTTGGGTAAAAAAGTATTGGAATTAGGTCATGAGTTATATAACGAGACAAGACCTAATTCAATCTTATTTTGATCAAATAATTAAAGGTTACATATCAAACCAAAGTACTGAAATGGGTTGGGTTGAAATGAATTGAGCTAATGAATGGACGAGTTAATAACTCGCCCGAACTTAATTGGATTGAAAGAGTTGGATGCGTTGGATTTGATTTTGCCAAAATACAAGTATTAGAAGTTAATTATGATTGAGATTTCTCTGTTTTTATGTTTCCCTGTTTCATTTGACAGTTGAAGAAGCAGAGAGAACAGAGTTGTCTGAAAATGCGAAACAGCAGCTTTGAATCAAGTAAATTCATACTATGGCTTCAAATATTTATCTTCACATTTTTTTACTGTTGGTGGTCAAGCAACTGGCACTCTATTGGGCAGAGTATACTATGAACAAGGTGGCAAAAGCATATGGATTGCTACATTAGCACAAACTGCTGGATTCCCAATTCTTCTGCCTTTTATTTTCTATTCTTCAGCCAAAAATCACACTGAACAACCTGTTAATAGCGCTAGTATATTTGTTCGCGCTTCAGTTTACATCTTCCTTGGTTTATTTCAAGTAGCAAACTCTATGTTGTTTACAATTGGAGTACAATACCTTCCCGTCTCTACCTACTCCCTCATTTCCGGTTCTCAATTGGCATTCACCGCGCTCACCTCCTTCCTCCTCAACAGACAAAAAATCACAGCAATTATACTCAACTCCGTCGTGCTTCTCTCCTTTTCATCGTCTGCTGTTATTTTCCAGAATGAGACGGGTGATAGCGGAGAAATATCTCAGAAAACTCTGCTAATCGGATTTACAGCAACTACATTCGGGTCTCTAGGATACGCTTTACAGTTCTCATTAACAGAAGTAGCATTCCAAAAGGTATTCAAAAGTGGCACGTTAAAAGAAGTCATGAAAATGTCATTTTTCATCGGTCTTTTCGTGACAATTACTTCGTTAACAGGGCTTTTTGCAAGCGGTAATTGGAATGATTTGGAGAAGGAAATAGGAGAATACAGAACGGGGAAATTGTCATATGTTATAAACTTGATTTGTACTGCGATTTCATGGCAGCTGTACGCCGTTGGATCAGTTGGATTGGTTTACAAGGCTTCAGCTTTATTCTCAAATGTGATCATCAATTTGGGATCTTCAGTTGTGCCAATTTTTGCGATGGTGTTTTTGAAAGATATGATGAGTGGATTGAAGGTGTTTTCATTGTTATTGGGACTATGGGGATATGCATCGTATATTTATCAACATTATCTTGATGATTTAGAGGCAAAAACAAGTGAAGTTAAATCCTCAGATGATCAAGATGATAATTTATAATAAGCCTCCCTCATTCAAAAAATTTGAATCATATGTAAATGTGAAGATTTCTATGTAATAAGTTCAATATGATCTCTGCAGAAACTGTTTAAAAAAGTGTAAACAAATTTGTAAATTCTTCAAAAAAATTTATAAGGGATAAATTAGTAAAATTGTCCTTATTTATATTAAGGGCGTGTTGATGGAAAAGTGAACAACTAATATGAGATGGAGGGATATGTCACCTCACTTAGGGATGTGAGGTTTCGTCTTGGATAATCCTTCTTTCTTGTGTTAACTTTTAAGTTTGGTTAGGTTCGAAGTTGATTTAATGTAGTATCAGTGTCAGGCGCATTTCAATCGTTACGTATCCATATTGGGCCAAAACAATAGCATCAATCATAAGCTTTGTCACTTTCTTAAAATGTCAATTGGAAGTTTCAAATATCTGGATGTTACCTTATTCATCTCTACTTGTCTGTTTTGTTGATAGTATTGTATTAGTCATATTACTCATCAAACAGAAGCATTAATGAATAATAATTAATCTTCATCTATTTCTTAATTAATCTGTCTGTTTTGCTTAATTAAGAAGTTACTAGCTAGTTGAAATAATTTAAAAGTAGATAATAAAGTGGACAATTAGATAACTCAAAAGAATTTGAGAAATCTATTCAGTTGGCTCAAAAAATAATAGGCTCTAACAACTTATGAAATGACAACTTATAAAAAATGAGAAAATTGTTGTTCAGTATAAGTTGTTTGATATGATTTGCCGTTTTTTAAATAGTTGAAGGCTCATCCTAATTTAAATCTATTTAGAGTATATAAGCAAAGCTTCAACTTTTCTTATTGACTTCTTAAGAATGGAATGAATAACTCACCTCACCGGTGAAGGACGAGAATCTTGGACTCTTTATAAGACTTGACAATTCTTATCCCTTCAAGTTAGTTTTTGGATATGAGTTTCGTTAGATCCAAGATTCATTCGATAATTTGTTTATACCCGTTTACTTTGTTTTGGGTGTTGCTTGTGGTCATTTACCTTATAAGTTCTAAATCTAGTAAATAAGAAAGTTAGATCTTGGAAAAAAGTAGTAAATAAAAATTAAGGAGGAAATTAATGACATCCATAATATGACTTTAGAGGGAACTTTTTCAGTATATTCATATATTCAGGGAAGGAAATACCACTATTGATCTCTTAGCCAACTTTATGGAGCTCGATAAGAAAAATGACTTTTTCATTGAAACTATACACTTACCAAGGAAGATTATATCCACAATGAAGAATGATGAAAAAGCTTGTCCTTACTTCAGAATCAGACTAAGGAAAAACACTTTGATCTTCGACCCTGGTTGAGCTCTTCTCGAATGGTACTAGGTATTCTATCCTAGACATTTTTCTTGGAAGCCTAATTGTACTAGGAGCAATCCTCCTCTTTTGCTACTCTGTATGAGGTAAGGTTTGATCCTCTTCTGGTAATCTTTTGCTTTGAAATAGAATGCCTCTTTTTTAAAAATAAAAAATAAAAGAATATAACAACAACATAGCCAATGAAATTACACTAGGTGGGGGAGGATAGAGTGCACGCAGACCTTATCACTATCTCATGAGGAAAGAGAGACTATTTTCGAAAAACCTTCGGGTGGGAAATGTTGTCTAGGGCCATTTGGTGGCTGAGCCCAGTCCAAGTTGAACTAAAACATTAGTCCCATGTAGGGTTGGCAAGGGGACGGGGACGGGGACTGAGGGACGGGACGGGATGGGGGACGGCGCTGGCGGAATTTTTGTCGGGATCGGGATTGGGGGGACAAAATTATGTCCCATCCCGTCCCACTATATATACGGGATGGGACGGGGTTTGGAGGGACGGGACGTGGGATTTTTTATTTTTTATATATTTATTTATTTGTATTGAAATTATATGTTATTGAATAACATTTTTAGCTAATAAATAATGCTTAAGTTTTTAAATTTTAAATTTCAAATTTCAAATTTTAAATTTCAAATTTCAAATTTCAAATTCAACTTTCAAACTTCAAATTTCAAATTTGAGAAGTTCAAATTTGTATTTTTAAATATTTTAAAGTAATTTAAACTTGAAATTTCAAATGTCAAATTTTGATTTTTAAATTAAGTATTTAAAGATAGTTTAGTATATATGTAAATATGTATGTATATATTAAAATTAAAATGCAAGCCAATAATTGTATAAAAAAGACTTGAATAAAGCCTTCAAATTTATTCAATAAAAACTAATTGCAACTTAGAACTTAGAAGTTACAATTTACAATTATTAGTGGAGTAACTAATCTACGCAGCCACCTTCTAGGAAGGGTTCTGTTTCAATTAGTTCTCGGATGTAATCTAATATTTGTATTCTCCTTTAAATTTAATTCTAATTGTCGCATCATATCAACGGTAACATCCTCCGGTGTTGGCAAACTTGCTAGAAACTCTTGTGACTCTAATTCATCATCACTAGATCCAATTACCACATTAATCCAAGCTTCTTGTTTGGAACTTAACTTTGGCAAATTATAATTCCTCCTCTCGGCGTTGACCCAGTCTCTAAAGAATACTGATGTTTCTAAACTTTCTTCTGCCAATGAATGTCTATGATCGCCAAGTTGAAACATTGCCGCACTAAAAGCAGCCTCTGATGCAACTGATTAAGCTTGAATAGCTAGAACAACACGAACCATTTTGCTCAAAATTGAAAATGCAACGCTCCGCCTCCTCCACCATGCTAATAAATTCTTCATTGCCATCACCGTCTTCCACTGTTTCTAAAGATTGATTTAAAGATATTCTTCAAAATCATCACAGTTAGTAGAATTAAGACCAAGAAAACCTCGCATATAACTTGAAATTCGAGCTTTACTCTGAGGATTAGAAGTTTGACCAACTTCTCCTTGAGTATTTCCTGTAGTCCTATATTTTTCATACAAAATTTCTGCTTCTACTTTTATGCTAGACTTATACATTTCACAAGTTGGGTTTTTTCCCGGTAAAATTTCTAAAGTATCATAAAAAGTGTCAACAAGTCCCTGCACATCTCGTAATTTATAGTCAGGATGAAGTAAAGTAGCAGTTAAAAAAATTTGAGGAATAGGAAAAAAATATTTTTAAATTTTTTCAATCATACCTTCAATTGCAACTCTAAATTTTAAAATTCTTTTGTATTTAGAAAATTAAATTGAAATAACACAAATATTTATTAATACTGATGAAATAGTAGGATAATAAATTCCAGAAAACATGGTTGTAGCATCATAAAAAAGTCTTAAAAATTCTAATAGTTCATTACTTTCTTCCCAATCTTCTTCACAAATTCTGTCTAATGGGTCAGCATTATGAGCATTAAACACCATTTGTACGGGTCCTTTATATTCGTAAGCAACTGAAAACATTTCGTAAAAAGAATTCCACCTTGTTTTAATATATCTTGGAATTTTTCTTGGTGGCAAATCACATAGTACACAACGCTCATTAAATTCCCTAATTCTAGCAGCTCTATTAGCATAAAAAATCCAGGCAACAGCATATTCAATTTTCATACAACCACATTTAAATAATGAAATACCATCTTGTACAACTAAATTTAATACATGTGCAACACATCTAACATGAAAAGAATTAACATCAATTGGACATAATCTAGTTTTTAACATACTAGCAGCGTTTACATTATTAGATGCATTATCTAATGCGACAGACATTACTTTATCTATAAGCATGTAATAATCTATAACACTCAAAATATTTGAAGCTAAATATGCACCAGTTTTTTTCTCTACACATTCTTTATAACTTAAGATTCTTTTTTGCAAATTCCAGTTATGATCAATCCAATGTGCTGTAACAGTTAAATAATCACGTTTATTAACACTACGCCCCATGTCCGAAGTTATAGACACTCTACAATCTAATATGCTAAATATACAACAAAGATATTGTCAATGTTTACCTTGATATACAAAAACATTAGATTTAACAGTATTTCTTGAAAAGTCCCTATAAGTAGGATTATAAGTTTGTTGAATATATTCAATAAAACCGGGATTTGAAGGAAAATTATAAGGCAAACCACAAACAGAAACCATTTTAGCTAAATTTTCGCGATCTCTTTCCTTATTATATTTACGTTGTGTAAGTGGACCACCGGGGTTAGAAGGATCTAATGTTCCTTGAACCATGTTAGAAGCCCCTACCGATTCATTAACATTAATATCAAAATCATTAAATGGAATTCTTTTTTTTCTATTGGCTAATGATTTAGCTTCTTTATATTGAATCGGCACACAAGATAACAAATGTCTATTTAAGCCCCCCGTCCCACCTTGACCTCCACCTTGTTTATGTTTAAAAGGTTGCTTACACTTATTACAAATAGCAATAGAGTTTTCCTTATCTAAAGTCATAAATTGCCACACAACAGAAGTTTTAGGGCGTTGATACTTCACCTTCTCCCTTGTAGGAGGTATAAGGGGTGGGCGTCCACAATTTTGCTCCGTTGAATTTGTAGTTTCATTTGAAACTT